GAGGGAAATAGGTGGGATTTGGGGAGATTTTTGGGAATTCGGAGTGTCCCTGAGGGGATTTTTGGGATCCTGAGGGGATTTGAGAGAAATAGGGGGGATTTGGGGAGATTTTGAGGAGTTTTGGGGGGATTCTGAGGGTCCCTGAGAGGATTTGAGGGATCCTGTGGGGATTTGAGGGAAACAGGAGGAGATTTTGAGGAGTTTTGGGGAGATTTTGGGGGTCCCTGAGGGGGTTTGTGGGGAAATAGGGGGGATTTGGAGGGTCCCTGAGGGAATTTGGGGGCTCTGTGAGGGAATTTGAGGGATCCTGAGGGGATTTTTGGGATCCTGAGGGGATTTGAAGGAAATAGAGGGGATTTGGGGATATTTTGAGGAGTTTTGGGGGGATCCCTGAGGAGATTTGGAGGGACCTGAGGGGATTTAGAGGGACCTGAGGGGATTTGAGGGGTCCTGAGGGGATTTAAGGGAAATAAGGGGGATTTGGGGAGGTTTTGGGGAGATTTGGAAGATCCCTGAGGGGATTTGAGGGGTCCTGAGGGGATTTTTGGGATCCTGAGGGGATTTGAGGGAAACAGGGGGGATTTGGGGAGATTTTGGGAAGTTTTTTGGGGATTTGGGGACTCTGTGAGGGGATTTTGGGGGGTCCTGAAGGGATTTGAGGGAAACAGGGGGGATTTGGGTGGAATTTTGGGGAGATTTGGCTGGGATTTTGGAGGCATTTAGGTGGCATTTGAGGGAATTTGGCTGAAATTGAGGGAACTTGGGGGAATTTGGCTGGAATTGGGTGAAATTTGAGGGAATTTGGAGGGATTTGGCTGGAATTGTGTGGAATTTGAGGGAATTTGGGTGGAATTTGAGGGATTTTGGAGGGATTTGGGTGGAATTTGAGGGAATTTGTGTGAATTTGAGGGAACTTGGGGGGATTTGGATGGAATTGGGTGAAATTTGGGGGGATTTGGCTGGAATTGGGTGGAATTTGAGGGGATTTGGGTGGAATTTGAGGGAATTTGGAGGAATTTGAGGGAATTTGGGTGGATTTTGAGGGATTTTGGGTGGAATTTGAGGGAATTTGGGTGGATTTTTAGGGATTTTGGGTGGAATTTGAGGGAATTTGGAGGAATTTGAGGGAATTTGGAGGAATTTGAGGGGATTTGGGTGGAATTTGAGGGAATTGGGTGGAATTTGAGGGAATTGGGTGGAATTTGAGGGGATTTGGGTGGAATTTGAGGGAATTGGGTGGAATTTGAGGGGATTTGGGTGGAATTTGAGGGAATTTGGGTGGAATTTGAGGGAATTTGGGTGGAATTTGATGGAATTTGGGTGGAATTTGAGGGATTTTGGGTGGAATTTGAGGGAATTTGTGGCTGACCCCACATTTCCCCTCCCCCCCAGCCCCGTGCCGTCGCCCCCCGGCTCCGCTGGCACCTGAAAAATTTGGAAAATCGGGAAAATTCGGCGGCGGAAAAAGCGGCGAGATGGGAACCCCTCCTGCCCGAGGAGCCAGGGTGAGAAACATCCCCCCAAAAAAATCCCCCCAGAATTCCAGGAATGCCCCAAAATCCAGCGGGAATCCCAAAAAATTCCACCGGTTATCCCGAGAAATCCATCAAAGATCCCGGAATTGCCCCCAAAATCCCCCTGAAATATCCCAAAAATCCTTGAATTGTCCTCAAAAATACAGAAGTTATTCACAAAAATAATTAATTACTCATAAAGATCATTAATTATTCTTAAAGAGTCATTAGTTATTTATCAAGATTCATTAATTATTGCTAAAGACTCATTAGTTATTCATCAAGATCATTAATTATTCACCAAGATTCATTAATTATTTGTAAAGGTTCATCGAGGATTTCTAAAAATTTTGGCAGGGATCCCAAAAATTCCTTTAATTACCCCCAAAAATTCCATCAGGGATCCCAAAAATTCAGTTAATTACCTTAAAAATTCTGTGAATTACTCCTAAAAATCCATCAATGATCCCAAAAGTTCTGTTAATTATCCCAGAATTCCACCAGGGATCCCAAAAATTCCGTTAATTACCCCCAAAAATCCATCAGGGATCCCCAAAATTCCATTCATTATCCCAGAATTCCACCAGGGATCCCAAAAATTCCATTAATTACCCCCAAAAATCCATCAGGGATCCCCAAAATTCCATTCATTATCCCAGAATTCCACCAGGGATCCCAAAAATTCCATTAATTACCCCCAAAAATCCATCAGGGATCCCAAAAATTGCATTAATTATCCCCAAAAATCCATCAATGATCCCAAAACTTCCAGAAATTACCCCCAAAAATCCATCAATGATCCCAAAAAATCCATTAATTCTCCCAAAAATCCCTCAGGAATCCCAAAAAATTCACCAGGAAACCCCAAAAATCTCCCCCAAATCCCCGAATTATCCCAAAATCCCGGGATTTTCCCAAATTTTCCCATTCCCGCAGGTTTTTGGAGCCGGATCCGGGCGAGGATCCCGCCCGGATCTCGCAGCGGGAAATCGCCGAATCCGTGGATATCGCCAGCGCCAGCAAGGTGGGAATTTGGGGGGAGAAATGGGAATTTTGGGGGAAAATCGGGAATTTGGGGGGGAAAACAGGGAATTTGGGGGGGAAAACAGGGAATTTTGGGGGGGAAAACAGGGAATTTTGGGGGGGAAAACGGAATTTTGGGGGGGAAAACAGGGAATTTTGGGGAAAAATTGGGAATTTGGGGGGAAAAAATTGGGAATTTGAAGGGAAAACAGGGAATTATGGGGAAAAATCTGTAATTTTGATGAAAAATTGGGAATTTTGGGGGAAAAAATGGGAATTTTGGGGGGAAAAAGGGGAATTTAGAAGGAAAAATGGGAATTTGGGGGGGAAATGGGAATTTTGGGGAATTTTGGGGAAAAAAAGGGAATTTTGGAGGGGAAAAATGGGAATTCTGAAGGAAAAAATTGGAATTTTGAAGGAAAGAATGGGAATTTTGAAGGAAAAATGGGAATTTTTTGGGGGGGGCCTGGTGGTGGGGGAGGGGAATTTGGGAATTTTGGGGAATTTTTGGGAATTTGGGGCTGAGAATT